AGAATAAGATGGTGCGGGATGTCCTAATTGGCATGGCAGGGGGCGCTAGCGGGATCATGGCCGCTCGTAGGCCCCACGCAGTGACATACTTAAACATCCTTCTGACCTGTTCCAGCATTAATCCACTTCAGTTCTCCACCTTTCTAGATAAATTGAGACCTCTCCCACATGCTTTGAACTCCTTCTAGTTATAACAATCAGATTCTCTTCCTCTTGGGTTTCCCACTGACAGCTGTCTGGCATCTGCTGGAGAAGACTTTTGAGTAGTCTTTGAGTACACATTTAACTCCTTTCTTACCAATAATTTTTTAGAAATTACATTTAAGCAATATACAACTTGCAATAGTAAATTGCCTCTAATAGATGACAATATTGGATGCCTTCATTGTTTAAGAGGAGGGTTTTCCTGGATCTTTCAAGTCCTCCTTTGCCTAGAATATCAGCCCAAAGTTATATTGATGGAGAAAACCTCAGAAGCACAGATGAACTATGTCAGCTCCTCCTATTGTGAGCTCTGTAGGGGTTATGACTCGATCTTGCTGTCTGCTAGCAGCCTGGTACTGAGGTCCCCAAAATAAGTCAAAGTATGACATGAATATCAAAAGAAATGACAAAATATAATGGTTCCACAGGCAGAGCCAGTTGGGAATCCTCTGCTACTCTCCAATACCTTTAGAGAAATGTGTGGCAGGGAGTTAGGTACCCTCCCAATGTCCAGGTAATAGAATTTGTAGAAGTCACCAAGAGGGGCTGAGTGATATCTGACTTTGTCAGAGCAATCTACATTCTGGATGAAGAAGGAAGATATGATTCACCATGATGTGGTGCAGAAAGAAGAGTCTTTGGCTGCTGGGAGTGAAGGTCTCAGACATCCCATTATGCCTATCCAGTATATTCTGCCTGAAACAATTGATTTTTCTTTCTGCTTAGGACACAGAGCAAATGCTAGGCCTAGCATGAAGCAGGGACAATATGGTCCAAGTCTTTCTGTTGCAGATTTCATAGCATTTCTGAGAAGTCTTATCTAAGGCTTGTGGAGTGATGGGTTAATTGGGGTTAGCTCTCACTGCTAGTGCCACAGCTGTCAGATATTATGTGAAGGGGCTTGTGTTGCCTGTTTCTGAGAATGTGAATGAACATAGACTCAGATCTTGAACCTAGGGAGTGCCCTTATTACAGGTTTGTAGTGTTCATACCTTCAGGTTTTTCCTAAAAAGTTTTTAATTTGAAGATGAGCATTTCACACAACAGCATAAATCCAGGAGCCAGGGATTAAAGAGAAAGCATATTCTGAGATTCTCAACGCAATCAGTCGAGTGAATCTGGTGCAGAATGCTTTCACATTTATTTCTAGGCTGCATATGATTGCAAGCATTGCTGCAATGTAATGAGAAACGTAATTACCTTTTAAAATATGCATGTTCATTAGACACTTTCACCTTATATATATATATATATATAACACCATCATAATCAGGGTTGATGCTCAGCTCTTAAAATTCACACTGATGAAGTAGTGTAGATGGAGACAAATGTCCTCTTGAGCAATCATCTGCATATTACGGGAAACATTTTTAGGAAAAAAATCTTATGAGCTTTTATTCTTCCTGTAATTTATACTGGAAATACCAATGCCATGATAATTGAAACTAAGTTCCCTTTCTTATCTAGTGTTCTATTTTTTCCCTGATCTTGATGGCAGTCTTTGCAGACAAATGCCTAAAGGAAAGAGATATAATTGGCATGATAGTTCGGAAGCATTTTATGACAAAAACGGTGTCAAAACCAGTATGTTCCTGCAAACAGTTGTGGTTTCAATAAATCAACATTTTCCAAACAACACAAAAAACTGGTTTGAAAAATTACTGATCAGCAACCATGTAAGTTTAATTCTGAAATGTAATATGTTGTGAACCAGTCCTCCAGTCTTGAGGGAAGCACAGGGAATTGCACCTTGTGTAAGGAATGAAGAAGTAGGGATTTTCTTCAGACAGGTAGGTTTGTGATTATCATGTGACAGAAAAACAAATGAAATGGGTTTTTTTTAGTGAACAGTACATTATAATCCATTTCTTATTCTGTTTCCCCCTAGAGACATCATGAACAATAAAGTGTTTTACCAACATCCTAATCTTATGAGAGCGTTAGGAATGCATGAGACTGTTATGGAAGTGATGGTAAATGTACTTGGAGGAGGAGAATCCAAGGTAAAGGATTTCATTGGTAGAAGACTGGGAATTTAGCATTTGGCCTTTTAAACCTTACTCCTACAAGGTGCTGAGCTTACTGGAGGTGCTAAGAGCCCTCAGTCTTGTTCATTTTATTGGAAAAAAATATAATTGAGTTCTACATGGACAGAATTACTGTAGTATACCACCTCAAAAATGTTATATAGCTTCTAATTATTGTCCTTATAATTATGTTATGGAATAAGATAAGTATGCGTATATTCACACTGACAAAGAATAGCTAATAGCACTTGTAACCTACTATATATTATAGGTATTGATATCAAGCGACTCTTGTCTGAAAGTTTCCAGTTCTCTCTCTCTCTCTCTCACACAGACACAGACACACAGACACTCTCTCCCCCCTCCCCCACTCCATTATAGAGAACCACAAAATTGGCCTCTGGAGCTGAATTCTGTGCATATGTCAGTGTTTGAATCTCATGTTTAGAGATGTATCTTCTTCTCTTGTTAAAGCAGTAGTTTGATCTGTGCTATGAGATTTAAGGAGGGTATACACTTATTCTGAGCTTTTTTGATTTCACTGAGGCCTGTGTGGAAAGGTTACTTAGCAGGTTTGGCATATAATTTAAATTCATGAAGACTAATATGATAAAGGCTTAAGTATATACTGAGATATATATATTCTAACAATCTTTTTATTAATCTTTTTTATTATTATTATTTTAAGGAAATCACATTTCCTAAGATGGTGGCAAACTGCTGTCGTTTTCTATGTTATTTTTGCCGCATCAGCAGGCAGAATCAAAAAGCTATGTTTGATCATCTTAGTTATTTGCTGGAAAATAGCAGTGTTGGACTTGGTAAGTAATAATATAAAATGTATCTAAAATGTGTTGTATATATAAATCTTGAAAATATGTCATTGATTTAAACTAACATATCCCACCCACTTCTGCTTCCAGCAATACTTATATAGAAAAAAAAAGTCTTCCAAAGAAAAGATTCTAGAGTTACTCAGACTTAAGGATCGAGTAAAATTAAAGGTGAATAGTTGAGCTCTACCAATTATGAGGAGATTGAAGTGGCAAAGACCAAAGAGGAGGTAGTTTAGCCAAGAATTTTACTTGTATTTACACAGAAGAAAGGCAGGAACGTCTGATCCTGAAATGCAGGATTACATTTTGTACCTCAAGTAAGGGCAAGCTCTAATTTATGACTAGCAAGTCAAAATTAAGTGCCTGCAGTTTTCTTTCTTGGGGATCTTTCCTCGCCCAGACTGGCTAAGTTCTTCTACCTTGTTCAGGGTGCAGTGCCATGGCAAGTGCAGATCGAAGGGCATAGTGGTGCTCTCATTCTTGTATGAGTATAAAGTTGCTCGTAAGTGAATTCTGAATTAAGTTTTTGAAGGATCTAGCTGATGCTGGGGGAAGTTCCTAAACTTTTATATCACTCAGAAATGCAGAGACCCAAGGTTACTGACCTTCTTTATCCTAAAGGGATTCAAACTAGCCTTTCTCACCTCTTCGAAGGATGACCAAACCACCAGGCACTCTTCATGTCTCCTATTGAAGTTGAGACACTGTGCAGCAAGGAATTTAAGATTTGTGAGTCCAAAGGGAAAGCAAGCAAGAATATAGTTTCATAGTTTATGCGTATGCATCTGACTATAGTCCAGTGGTAATGACTTTTGCTTGGGAAGGGAAAGACTTGGGTTCCAGTTCCTGCTTCTGAGGGTTCCTGCCATTGCCCTTTGTATTACTGCCATTGGCTAAATGTGTAGGGTGTTGAGAGTGGGGAACCAGAAACTGGGTCTCCCCCTTTCTTAGCTGAGTACCTCTGTCACTGATAGAACCTTGTTCTCATGCTCTCTCTGTCTGGCTACGTGACTTACAAATCCTTCATTACGTAGTGGCCCATCTTTAAAAAGAGGGGTGAAGAATGCCTTCCCCTCAGCTTTAGTTTCTAGACATGCTCCTAGCATGTGAAAGAGTTTCACTTAAAGCGCCTCATGCTGAAGGGTATATAACCTAGATCTTATGCTTTCTGGGTAGGTAATCCAGCCAACAGTATGGGCTAGTATGGGTACTACCATTTCCTCCTATTCCCCCTCTTTTGTTTCTGAATGGAAGTTGCTGTGGCTGCTGTGTTTTGTGGTTGACTCAATGCTGCCAGTGTGTTTCCAGTGTGCTTTGAGCATCTCCATCAAATTGGGCCCTTCAGGATATGTCTTCATTGTTCCCAAGCATGCTCCATACACTCATTCCTGCTTGAAACCTTCATATATATACAAATAAGGTTGCTCTGGGGTCATCCATGTGCAGCCATTCACACAACTTTAATCTCTGGTATGATAAGGATAATCCTGGAGAAGTTTCATTGGCACATTTTTGTGTTGAACAGGTGGGGTGGGATTGTCTCAGAAATATTCTGGTCAAGGCAAGCTGCTATTGAAGCATGGATATACCCTGAGAAGACTTAAGTATAGGAGCACCTATTTTGTGAATGCAAATGCAGTTAAGCACAAGGTAGATTTTGAAATGGTCAGTGCAGCCAAGATGACTGTAGTTTTGGACATCTGCAGTAGCAGCACTTTAGACACCTGAGTAAGTTTTTCAGACATAGACTTAGTTGTGTATGGACTCTCAATTGCCTAAATGTTTAGGTTGTTTTTTTGTAGATTGCTTACTTGGATTTAAGTGCTTGAGTTCTGCCTAAATTGGTTTTTAGGCAATTACATGCCTTTTTTGGTACATAGTCTAAACTTTCCTTGTTAGAATGTTGGTTTAGGACAGAAGCATTGCCACAATTTAATTTTGGAGTAAAAATAGTCATTTTCCCTTTTAATGAGGCGATGGTACTATGACAACACCTACACATGACAGGTATCGCACAATGAACTGGTTAATTACACAATTACCTTGAGACCAGCTACGTGTTCAAAGTATCTATCACACAACAAGAAGCTCCAAACAGCTATCAAGGTAGACCTAAAAAGTGTGCACTAACTTTATAGCTGGTTGCTATCGAGCTTTAATTTGCACATGTAGCAGGGTCTCACCTGCAGCTGGAAGCCCCATCAGATATGGGCTCCCAGCCACAAGCGTGCACCTTGTCCAGCCAGGGCTGTGAGTCTTGCAACTGCTGAGGACTCTTGGCCCCAGGAGCTGGCAGCAGCCTGCAGCTGCTGGGACCCGGAGTCCCACAGCTATGGGTGCTGGTTCCCTGCAGTGTTCTTCTTGGTGCCGGGACCCAGAAGCTGCAGGGCATGGCTATGATCTCCCCATCCCAGGGGTTCATGAAACCTCTGTGGTGGGGGGATCAGCACTGCAGCAAACTCCCCACCCCAGGGCAAATGACAAGGGCAGGAGGACTGCCTCAGCAGTGATCTCCCAGCCACAGGGAGCACTGGGTGCCCATGTGGCTGGGAGCTCTTAAGCTGAGGGGGTTCCCAACCACAAAGGGCTTGTTTCCTGCCAGTGCAGGGGGAGTCTAGGATCGGCACAAGGCACAATGGGATCTAATGTATGACCCCACAATTGTGCCTCCTGCCATGGCAGGAGATGTGATTTTGTGAATCATGCATTAGATCCTATTGCACCTTTACTTGCACGTGTAGAGGGGTCTTTGAGAACTGTTAAAACTGTACCATATTAATTTAGAAATAATACATTTAACATCCATTTTTAAGAACAGAATAAATGACCAAAATTATGATCATGAAACCAAACTTGGGAAGTTGTAAATTAAAAAAATATTTTAAAAATCTGAGCACATAAAACAAAGCATTGTGTCTGAATGGATATTTGCGACTATAAATGTGTAATGGCTGAACTTGAGATGCATGCACCTAATTGTTGTTTTAAGTGTTAACTGTTATTTTAACAGCATCCCCTTCTATGCGAGGATCAACCCCTCTAGATGTTGCAGCAGCATCTGTGATGGATAACAATGAACTTGCACTAGCTTTAAGGGAACCTGATTTGGAAAAGGTTGGTATCCATCTTTTTATAGTCTTTTGTTGGCAGTGAAAATATAACAGAGAGGGCAAAAAGGCATTGCCACTGCTAGTTAGGAGGAGAAATCTGTATTCTAGAAATGTTGTGCAGGAAGAAAAAACATGACATGGATGAAAACTAGACATGGGGTGTAGAAAGTATGCCAAGTGAAAGTTCAATTTTTGGCACCCTAAGCTTAAATTGATTGCTGGACACCCACAACGAGGTGTCAAACAGACAGACCAGGGTTTTTTTGTCTGGGAGGCTGGTCAAAATGAAAGAGTAGATCTCTGAGTTATCAGCATGAAAATACGGTTGAAGAAATGTTTTCAAATAAGGATACAATGAAGAAGGACAAGAGGAATCAGTTAAAGAATTTTGATATTTGGGACTTTTGCTGAAGGTTGCAGTATAATCAAGAGCCTCCTGAAGGAATGACTATAAAGGCAGGAGGAGAACAATTGGGAGATGAAACTTCCAGAAATGTATTATGGTTGACAGTATCATGGGTAGCCAAAGGAGAAGGATGAAGATGAAATATTGCTCTTCAGATTTGTCCAAGATGAGACCATGAGAGGTTTTTATAAGGACTGCTTTAGTTTGTGGATTGTATATGAGGAAACTTTCTTCTGAAGTTGTGACTTTCCTCCTTTTAGTAATAATTTGTTTTTTCACGTTAAATTATTTTTAGGTAGTTCGCTATCTGGCTGGATGTGGTTTGCAAAGCTGCCCTTTGTTGATTTCTAAGGGCTATCCAGACATTGGATGGAATCCAGTTGAAGGAGAAAGATATCTGGATTTTCTTCGGTTTGCTGTTTTTTGCAATGGTACTTTTAGGACCCTATCCGTTTTATACTTTTCTTAAAAGTCTAAATAATATTTATCAATGTTAAGTCTGTCATTTAATATACATACTGGTCTGTTGGCATCAAAACAGGACTCTACCTAAGTTCAAAAGAGCTATCCAAATTGGCCAGCTGTTACAACAGTCATGATGTACTTCCATTTTGGTAGTACATTTTTCCCTATGAATCTACACTAGAAACCCATGGAGAGTGTCCAGGTAGTGAGGGCTCCCTCACTGCCTTCTTTTGAAGCCGGTCCACCTAGGACTCTCACTTTCAGAAGAAAGCTATAGATACTGGACTAAAGAATGTTATTTTTCACTTGCTTTCTTGCACTTTCTGGCTACCAGTGGCTCTACGGTATATCCTAGGGGTTAGAGGACTCTCTTGGGAACTGGGAGATGTGGATTAAAATCCCCTGAGGTTGAGCTGATTCTAATAAGTGAGTCTCATATATCCTTGTCAAATGCTATAATCACTAGGCTACTGGACAAAAGGTGAGTGCCACCACTACATTAGAAGGACAGTGAAACATTATGAATCATATCAGTACTGATCATAAGAACCTATTGTCAGATGAGGGCTAAATATTTGGAGACTGAATGACTGGAAGCCCTTAATATTCAGCAGAAATCAGTGCCTAAGCTTCTGAGAGGTGCAAGACTTTGGACATGTTTTTGTGCTTAGCATTTCCTTTTGCCTACCTCTAGGCACCCTCAATTGTCATTCTACATCTCCTCATTCTCTCTATGCACCTAAAACTTCATCTCTCTTCAGAGGCACCTCAGTCTCCCCATTGACTGGATAAGGATCCTGGCACCTAGCCTGGTCAAACTAAATTGCCCTCCTGGAAAAGGAGCCTAAAACTTAGGTACAGGCAGTCCTCGGACTTATGACACAATTGATTCTTGAAAACCGCATTTTAAGTCGAAATGTTGCAACTCAGAACCAATTTTGCCATGTTATAAATGGGGGATTGGTTCCTGAACCAAGACCCGATACCCTATTTTCACCAAAAATAACCAGAATTTTGTACTCAATCAATTATATGAGTAATACAGCTACATTAATGTATTTATATTGTAAATGGTAATCACATTGATTTGGAAGGACTTCTTTGAGGTGACTTTGATGGGCTTTTTGAAGGGCTCTTGGCTGGAGTCTTCTCAGGAGTCTTGGGTGCAGGTTTTTCTGGAGTCTTGTCTGCTTTCTTAAAGAAAATGTCCAAGGCAGTTTGGACAGATGTTCTTTAGGGAGATGGGTGATGCAGTGAACTTGTTTGCTGGCATGGCATGGCATCGGATCAAGCATCATAAAATTGAAACTGACCTGAGAAATTCAAAACAAGGTGTCAGTTTATAAACTCCATAAGTGCCGTTCATTGTAACTCAAAAAGTCTCAAGTTGAGGACTGCCTGTATTAGAAAGCTAACTGTAGGTGCGTACAAAATCAATTTTAAGTTGGCCTAAGCATTTAAAAGCCCATTTCAAAAGTGACTTGGGCTATTAGTGAGGGGGCCTGGTGCAGGGTGGGTGGACCTGATGATTTTGCATGGTCCCTTCCAGTCCCTTACAATTTATGAATTGTAGAACCTAATGAATTAAGAACCTAAGTCCTGTTGGCTTTCAAATTAATTTTAGGCACCTCAGCGCTTTTTAGTCACCTACTAGAAATAGATATTGCCAAATGAAGCAGATCAACTGTGCCAGGATGAGTCCATATTATTGGGTGAAACATGTCAACCGTTGTCCCACCCATTGTACTTGTGGCACAACATATAAGATATGTTGATATCACTTCTAGAGATGCAGCTTCAGAACTCTTCAGGAACATTGGAGATTGCCAGGAGCATGTCTTGGCAAGCAGGGCCCCTGAGTTTCCCCACTTGCACAGATGCACCCTAGGGATCCCAGGAATTTGTCTCTGGAAGTGGGGAAAGCTGAGATACTGCAGTGCAGCCACCAATCAGTGACTGACAGTACTAGCCTCGGGTCTGCATTGGAATGTCCTGGCTTTCCCCACTTCTGGAGATATGCCCCTGGGATCTCCTAGTGCATCTTTAGAAGTGTGGAAAGCTGGAGTTCCCCACTTCCAGAGATTAACCAAGTGAGGTGGTGCAGGCTCCCACCCTGGGGGTTTTTAAGAGGAGGTTGGATGACCACCTTACTGGGGTCGTTTGACCCCAGTGCTCTTCCTGCCATGGCAGGGGGTCGGACTAGATGATCTGCTCAGGTCCCTTCCGACCCTAGAAACTATGAAACTATGAAACTCCCTGTAATTTTGGGGGCTCATCTATGGAAGCTGGGTACCCCAACTTTTCATGCTTCCAGAGACACCCCAGAGATTGCCAGGGCAGAAGCAAGAAAAGCCAGGCAGGGGCTTGAGTGGCTGATTCTGTGCAGGAATTCCTGGGGATGCAGGACCAGTCCCCTCAAGCCCAGAGAGTGCTTGACCAGGGTGACTGCAGAGTTCAAGCAGGTCTGGCTGCCTGTGCTCTCCTGATATAAAGCAAATGGATTTCCAAAGCTATAAAGTTACAGAGTTTATTAATACCCTTTGTCACAGACACATTGTGGCACCAACAACTGTATGGACATCTATTTGCTGTTGCTTTCTGCCACCATAAAAATGTCTGTGGTGGCATGAAGGTAATATCTGTTTCCACTCTTAAACAGTTTCCAAAATTTTGCCCATGTGGCAAAATTCAGGGTGGAATAGGGCCAAAACACTATTATTAGGACCATTGCAAGCAGAGGCATAGTGAGCATTATTTCATATTTGGGGTTAGGTTTGCGGTATACTGACTACTGTAGACCAGGGTGGAAGGGAATGCTGTTGCTGCTGCAGTAGCAACATCAGCTTCACTCAGGCATTAGGAGCTCTGTGAGTGGGGTCCCTGGGAGCTGATCCTGGTGCCCCATTCACTTCTTCCTTTTCCTGCCCCACCTCCACCAGTACATATATATTGGGTGCAGGACTATGCCTGCTCTGGCAAAGGCTCCCACAATTCTGCTCATTCCACTAACCCCCACTCCCTTCACTTGCCAGATATACTGCTTGGTGTGGCACTGTCTTGCTCTTACAACCTGGCAGGACAGCATGGGGCTACCCCCTGCAATGGCAAAGACCCCTGGAGAGCAATTTTGGCACTCTTACCTAGCCAGCATCCTACTCTTTATGCCCTCATTACGCTACTACATATAGGGCCTGATTTCAGTATTTACTTGCTTTTTTGGTACATGCACAGCCTTCTGACACGAGTGCAAACTTCAGCATAGGTACATAGCATCTGCATTATTTTTATGTCTTTTTTATTTAATCACTTTTATGGTGAAAGTAATATATAATCTGGCTCTTATCTCTTTTTGACTTCACAATATCAAGTAAATTTTAATGATGCGGAAATCAAGACAATAGAGAACCTTTTTACACATTTTAAAATGAACAGCAGACAGAATCAAAGGATTTAAATATGAAAATTTTAATCACCTTTGCTTCTTCTCAGTGGTATTACAAAATGTCATACTTCTGCTTGTTTATTATGTAACTGAGCAAAATTGAAATTGTCTTTGGTGTTTAATTACAGTCTACATTGTACTGATGTAGACATGACACGTCTTCATCATGCACATTTATCTGATCATTTCTCAAAATTGTACTGAATTTGTATTATCTTGAATTGTCATTCTTCCCCTTTCCCTCCCCCACCTGTCATATGATAGGAGAGAGTGTTGAAGAGAATGCTAATGTTGTGGTCAGGCTGCTTATTCGTCGCCCCGAGTGCTTTGGTCCAGCACTGAGAGGTGAAGGAGGCAATGGTTTACTTGCTGCCATGGAGGAAGCTATAAAAATATCAGAAGATCCTACCAGAGATGGACCCTCCCCTAGTAATGGATCTTGTAAAACGCTGTAAGTGCAAGAGAGCAATTTAACTAACTTATGCTTTTTTGCTCAATCGCATTTTTCCAATTCATTATGCCTGTTGTTAGTCTGTTCTCAAACTATTATCACATAATCTAGTTCACTGCATGGGAAGAAAATATCCTTCCCTTCTTCTTTAAGTTCTATTGGAAGTGTATCTTCTGCCAGCTGCCACCATCTCTGCCTTAACTCAGAGTTACTAACCAGGCAACTGATTATCAAATCTTGGTTCTCTTTTAGGATTCTTTCCTGTTGTTTGTCAGTCAGATAAGTAGGACTCAGTCTCCAGTTTTGAAGGAAAATAGGTGCTGCATGTAGTCTGTACTTTCCCAAATGTTTCCTCCAAATTCTAGAGGGCTCAGTGGAATCTTCTGCTACACATTACTAAAAAGGAGGATGTAAAGTAGCATTGTATTAGGTTAGGTACCTCAGGCATTAAAATGCGAGAAGACCTCTGTTTTCTAGGTACTTATTTTCTGTGCCCAATGAGTTGAAAAATGTACTTGAAATTGCAACACTACAAAAATAAAGGATACAAAGTACTAGATATGGCAATATAGTTTTGTTCTAATATAATGTCATGGCAAGCTGAAGGCAGTGAACTCACCCAAGATTTAGCTGTAATTGTGAGCAGATTCTGTTCCCTCGCCCTCCCAGCTTCTGTCGATTTTTATCGCTGATGTAAAAGCCTTACACATCTTTATATTTCATATTCTGTTTCCATTAACAAATAAATAAACACAAGTGAGATGGAAGAACAAGAAGATGACACAATCCACATGGGAAATGCCATCATGACATTTTATGCTGCTTTGATTGACCTCTTAGGACGCTGTGCCCCTGAAATGCACGTAAGTCTTGTTTCTTCAAATACTGTCCAGTAGAGCTACTTTCTTGCTTGGTGGTCTAGACAACTGGATTTTTACTTTTTTGAAGCAATCGTCAGTGCAGTATTTAAACATGAGATCATTTTGATGAAAATGATTAAGGAACTGAGAGATGAATATTGGCTATGAAGATTTCCTAAAATCTGTGTATAGGCAAATTTTGCCCTCAGAATCTACATAGCAAATCAGAATTCTAGAAGTGGTTGAAATATTTTGCAATAGTACCTCTTGAAATGAGGTACTATTTGAAGCGTTTTACTTTTGTTTACACCTGAATGGGGGCAACACGTAGGAGTTGCATGGGACCTGGAGTCAGGCTTATACCCTTCCAGTTCCCTTGCCAGACCTATGCCAGAGCTAGGACCTCCAGCCCCAATCCCCTCTACCCCTTATCTCCAAGGTGGGAGGGAGAGGCTTGGGGAACCTCCTCCTCCTCTTTGGCTCTCTGCTCTTCTTTCCCCTCTACTTATAATCCCTGTCAGAAAACAAAGGAGTGAAGGGACTGAGAGCAGTTGCAGGTCACTGCATCCTGCTCTAACATCCCTTGGCTGGTGCTAGAGGAAGCTGCAGTATTTTAAAATGTTACAACTAGGGAATGACACAAGGAACATACTTCTATGTCCTGGCTGAAAGGTTTCCTTTTCAAACTGTTTCCCAGTATGTTTCCCTTGGAAATGTTTCAAGTGTTACCATAAGCAGATCTAGGATTTTGGAAAGAGAGGTGAAGGAGCAGTGACTGGTGCTGCAGGGGTGGCTGCACCCTCTGCTTCCAGCTACAAACAGACCAGACAGACTACAATGAGGTATAAGCAGCCAGGGTCTTGAATCTGGTAAGAATCTCCCCTTCTGCTCTTGGTACCCCATCAGTGGGACCTCCTTTCTCCTCCCCCTCTCCCCTCTACTTATGCCTTTAGGCACAGGAAGGAAAGACCCACCTGCCATTGCCTCTGTCAGCTGCCCCTTCCCTGCAGGGCTTCAGGGAGTGGCTGTGCAGGGACCTAGGCTTGGCTGAGGTCAGTAGTGGCAGCAGACAGATTCTCCCTCCCTGAGCTGGTGGGGAATCTCCCAGGGGACAGGGAAGGAAAGGGGAACCTCCCTGTCCCTGGCTGAGTCTGACTCCCTGCATAGCCCAGCTGGACTGTGGCTGGAATGGCTCTGGAGCCCCGCTTTATCCCAGGTCAGTCAGGAGGTGGCAGCCAGTCGGCAGGAGTCGGGGGAACAGATGGAAAGAAGGTGCCACTGAGTATGGAGGGGAAGGGAGCAGGTGTCAAGAGCAGGGTGGAAGCATCTTACCTGCTTTGGGACTAAACAGAACTCTTCGGCTGCTGCTTTGGCTGCTGCCCCCATGGTGTGGGATGAAATGGGGGTTGCTGCTGTGCCCTCACACCTCCTTTGGATCCTCTCCTGATTGTTACACCCCTCTGTACTCTCAGAGGGCACTATGTTGTACAGGGGTCTCTACGTTTTCATCTTGTAAGAATGCCAGAGATACCCTTGTTTTTCCTTTTCCTGTTGTTGCTACTGATCCACTCTTGAAAAGCTTAACAAGAGAAAATAAATAGAAGCATAGAAGGAAGCTTATATCTCTCATTTCAGAAAACAAAAACCAATCCATTAATTTCCCTATTGTTTTTCTTGGGAGGGTCCAGAATTCGTTTGTGAACTCGAATTCCGCAGATGGCAGCACAGTGTGGTAACATCTAGCCCATCAAACTACTCAAACTTTCCTTCTTTTTGCATGATTGTAAAATAAGTCTTAAGCAGCATTTTTTTACTCTCTTGGTATATATTTTTAACAAATTATTTGATTCATAGAAAAGGAAAAATGGTGTTTTATCTGATCAACATATTAAGAATCAGTTCTGTTATGAGAGAGACAGTAGTTTTTCATCTTGATGTGTGTATTTGCACTAAAAATGCTAATCAAGGGTTGGAGAATCATAATGTTAGGCCTTGAACAAATGCATATTATTGTACAAAGATGGTCTCTGCCTCAAAACCCCAAATGGCCTACAAACTTAATATTTAGTCCTTCAAAAAATATAGGATTTTTTTTGTGTGTGGGAGTAGTCCCAGTAAGTTTAACAGAATTACCCCTATACTGAATTATTTACCTAACTCTTTGTTATGTTGGATTTTGAATTATGAACAGAAATAATAGATGAATGAAGATAGGGTTAGGAAACGTTATCTAAGACTCTTTTTTTGAACATTGAATTCATAATTTGATACCATTTCTGTCAAAATTACACTAAATTTTGCAAGTTTGCTCCCTTGCATTGAGAAATATTTCTGGATTCACTTGAAACTTGAACTAAATGTCAGATTTGTACAGTCCTCAAATATTTAGGTCATCCTTATTATAAATTATCTGATGTGAGAGGTATATTATTATTATTATTTGTTAGATATAGAAACACTGTGCCCTGATTTTTTTTAAAGTTCCTGGCCACCCAAATGAGCTGTGGACCAGGTTAGGATAGTGAAGCTGATGACAAGATAACTAAGCTCATTACCTGTTCAAGGGGCTTTTTGCATTAGACCTGTTACATGTGTGCACCTTGCATTGTTCCCCAGGTGTCCCATCATTTAATATTGAAAATGAGATCATTCTTCCCAAATAACAAAAATTCCACGGTTCTAGAATCTATCAATTGGAATCAATGTGACAACAAAGAACATATAAATTGTGCAAAATGTATATTCTTCAGTGTAGTTTGACCCTGACTCATATTTACTCATATAAATATGTACCTCAGAAGCTTTCTAGGGGGTGCAGGCAAAGATAGATGCAGGTGTGGGGGAAAAATGCTTAATGATTTTTCTTTTGATTGTATGCTTTCACTCAGCTAATCCATGCCGGCAAAGGGGAAGCTATTAGGATCAGGTCAATACTGCGGTCTTTGATTCCATTGGAAGACTTGGTGGGTGTAATTAGCATTCCTTTCCACATGCCAACAATAGTGAAAGGTAAGGAGATTGCTGTTCAGTTGTTTCTTCCCCCACCTTCTGTTCTTTTGGTTGGTTGCTTGTATCAATATTTCCTTCCATATCCACTGGAAATTAATGTTTTCTTAATGTGCATTACAAAATTCATACTACATTTTTGGATGTTGTAGATAATGATGGATAATGACCCACTGATTTCAGTGAGATCATCACTGAGACCAGAGTTGTCCTAAATCTTCTCACTTTGTTGCTCTTCTTTAAGCCCTTTGGGAAACTAGAGCAGGCTAACAAAAACAAGGAGTTAAGTAAAATAAGTAGTATGAAATGTGCCAGTGCCTATACAACAAACTGGATGAGTGACACAGGGCCGGTCCATGGGCCCAGTCTGGCACATGGGGCTGTGTCATCTAGACCATGGAGCTCCCCACAGATCTAGAAATGTGATGGCAGGACAAGTGTCAGCAGTATTAATTGCTATAGTAATTAACATTGCCTCTGCTCCTCTGCCACCAGTATCTAGCCTCTTGGGAGCCTAGTGGTCAGGTCCAGCCCATGGGCTGTATCATACCCCAGTTATAAAGGCACTCTTTTGCCTTAAGGAATTTCTTTGTGCCCTCAATGGTTTCCACTATTTACTAGTCAAACAGGTCTGCCTATTTTTAGGTTTTGTTTTGTTTTTTTAATAGAGAGAGAAGGCTGTTTCTATCTAGCAGTTATAGAAGTAATCCATTCATTTTTTTTTTAGTTTAATAATTTCAACTAAAATTCCATGTCAGTTTTTTATCATTCTCATTGCTGGCAAATTAAAGATAATTTCTGTATTTTTCCCATTTAATTTAGTGCCCTCTGAGAGACCCTCAGAATGATACAACACTAATACTTTTGTCTAAGTGATATCACTAGAAGCACTTTCATCCCCTGTAGTGGAGACATTTGGTTAAGTGTCACAAAGCTATATATTAATTGAATGTGCTGGAGCTTGCTAATTAGCATGCTCCAGCAGCTTCCATGCCATGTCTATTCAGCTTCCCTGTACTTCAAAATGGTGGCTGGGGCGCTTTAACTAAAGCTCATTGCATGGAAGCTTTAGTTAAGGTGCCTTTTCCACTATTTTGAAGCACAGAAGGCTGAACATGCGTATTGGTGCTGGTGCTTTAATTACAGAGGCTTTCTGAGCTTCTGTAATTAAAGGGCCTCCTCCCTGCACCGTAGAGCACGTGTATAGATGCCCTATGTCCCCTTCCATTTTTACTTCTGCTGAAAGAAAAGCACTACTAGTGTTGTGATGCTATCACAAGAAGTTTGAGCTTGTTCCCCAATTTAGAGAACAAATAGATAAACAGTTATTCTTCATTTCACTATTTTGTTTTAGGGAAACTTTCAGTTTTTAGAGGTTTGTGGTTTTACAGGTTTCGGTTTATGCCTTTTTCTTTTGCAAAATAATAAAAACAGACCTAAAGAATATGTTAAAGCTTCTAAAAAATTCAAGAAATGCATTTTTCTTTCTCTCTTTTTTAGTGGGGGAAAAAAAAGAACTAAAATTAACTCTCCATCTCTGCCTGGTAAATGAATCCAGTTTCCTGTTGTTAGCAGAACTTAATGTAATAACTGATTAACAATGAGCTCCTTCTGGGCAGCTAGAAGTTATTCAGTTTTTTTGTTGGCCCATGAGTTTGCCTACAGGAAGCTCACTGCTTCAGTGAGTCCTAATTGAGCATTTGTATCAAGGGGAAAGGTATACCTCCTCTTTGGTAGTACAGGCAGTCCTCAGACTTATGACACAATTGGCTCCTGAAAGCCACGTCTTAAGTCAAAACATTGTAATTTGGAACTGATTTTCCCATAGGAAACGATGTAATAAATGGAGATTGGTTCCTAAGTCAAGGCCTGATACCCTATTTTCACCAAAAATAACCCAGAATGTTGTACTCAATCAATTATAGATAAGTAATTTAGTTACATTAATATATTTATATTGCAAATAGCAATCATATTGATTTGGAAGGACTTCTTTGAGGCAACTTTGCTGAACTTTTTGAAGGGAATTGGTTGGACTTTTTGAAGGGTTCTTGGCTGGAGTCTTCTCAGGAGTCTTGGCTGCAGGTTTTTCTGGAGTCTTGTCTGCTTTCTTAAGGAAAGTGTCCAAGGAAGTTTGAACAGATGTTCTCCAGGGAGATGGGTGACACAGCGACTTGTTCGCTGGCATGGCATCACATCAGATCAAGCATTGTAAAGTTGAAACTGACATCAGAAAGTTGAAAAAGGGTATCAATTTAGAAATGTTGTAAGTGCAAAATGTTGTAACTCAAAACATTGTAAGTCGAGGACTGCCTGTACTTCTTAGTTGTATCATTATAGTGCTGGAACGTGCAAATGTACAGGTTGGGTCATTTCAGCAGAAGAATAATTCTAATCCAGTCTTGATGTTTAAAACAATGCTAATTTACCTTTCAAATAATATTAATATGTTACAGACTGAAGCAAAAGCTCAGTGGCACTTGCTAAACAGGCACTCAGACTTACAAAGGATTATTTGGGTTACACAAAGTATCAAAAATGAAATGTTTCTAGTTTTCAACTATATGGTTTTACTTATACTTTCTTTTCTATAGCTGTAAAGAGGTCTTAAACATAGCTCAGAATTTCTATATATTTTTAAGATCTTCTGATAAATTGTCCTTTCTGAGATCATCTTATTCATGTGATCTCTTGTTCTTTGCAGTATTTATCCCACAATAAAGGCATTTTTACCAGTGCCATATTTCAGAGACCATTATTCAGATTTATTCTGCTATTGGCTATCTGTTCCCTTTATGGAATGTCAGTTCAATCAACACTTTAATGTATTGTGTATTATTTCCTATAGTCTAAAAGTGTCATCTGCTTTGGCACTATCAAAATAAATGAGACAGAACACTTAGAATTTATCAGGATTTAAGTTGCCTTATTCATTTTATTTATTTACTTATGAACTTTACATAATAAAATCACTTGGAAAAATGTTCCAGTATTAACAATACTCCTCACAAGGAGTAATATGGTGATCTAGTATATCTGTGCAAGTTGATCCCTATTACTGAAGTCTTATTTCTTCCTTTTAGATGGTACTGTGGTGGAACCTGACATGTCTGCGGGGTTTTGCCCAGATCACAAGGCAGCCATGGTTTTGTTCCTTGACAGGGTCTATGGCATTGAGGATCAGGATTTCCTTCTGCATCTGCTCGAAGTTGGCTTTCTGCCGGATCTCCGTGCTGCTGCTTCCTTAGACACGGTAAAAATTTAAACCAATTGATTTTCTGTTTCTTTATCTTGTCATGGGGTATCTAAATTGCTGCACAACAGAAAGTATGTTTCAGCTTTAGCTGAATATCGAGTAGCCTCTTGATATTTGCACTGACTGGATGGGCTTTCTGGTGTTGCCAAACTCTGAGAGCATCTTGAAAACTATATTCCCTAGAGTAATGCTTGTTTTAGAGAGCATTTCTAGCTTTGAGCCTAGGCCCATGGATGAGAGGCACGGGGCCTCTTTTTGGCAAGAGGTCTTCTGAGCCCTTGATCCTGGATCTAAAATCAGTTGTTTATGGAGCATGTGACTGAGAATGTATCTTCAGATTGCTTATGTTCAAAGTTAAAAGATAAAGCCCATGTACAGTTACTCTGGCAATAGGAAAGAGCATAGATGCCAGGCAATGTACTTCTGGCATTTTGGCACATTGAAATTCTCTCCTGTGTAAGCTTACTTTAATAAAAAAAATAAGTTTCTAACTGCAACATTTGTGGAGGTTTCCTTTAGTACAATGCTAGCTAAGTTAGGATTAGATGGACTGAAGCTGTGATGCACGGGCTTTCTATAGACGTCAAGAACATGCATTCTCAGAAGTGAATCTTCATGGATGTTTCAGCTTTATAGGGCTTGTAGGTTTAGCAGAAGAGACTTAGGCTGAGAGGGACACTCATCCACATCAACTTTGTATGTTCAGCATTCTTAATGCACATTCATGAAGTCTGAAGTCCCACTTTTTTCCAGGAGGTTCTACACTAAGTAATATCAAAAGAGCTACATTGAATACTTTATGTGCATATGTGAGCTTTATCTTGTGCCTGAATATGGGATGTATTTAAGATACAAATCTAAGTCTGAATTTGCAAGCAGTGCCCATCTTTCTAAAGGCTAGCAAATACTCTATATCAAAATGTCCTGGATAATATTTGAATTTTGCAACCTGAGTTCAGATCATTTCCACAAATTTATATAGAACAGCATGTATAAAATTCCATTTTAAAACAGATAAAATATTGTAACTATTTTTTTTTTTTTTAGAAAATGTCTGAACAAATTTTAAAAGGGCTTTTCGTTGTGTTTTTTTAAAGTAGTAAGTGACTAAATATAGGAGATTGCACAGGGAGACTGTACCGAAGCATATATTAGTGGGATTCTTAACCAGGATGCAGTGGCATTCTTGAGTGCCTTGAGATCTTTTTAAGGGTGATGCAGTATTGCACAATGTTAGGACCATTAAGTGTGCAAATGTCTATATAAGATTTACAAGATAAACCCATAAATTTCAAATAGGAATCTAGAGTATCAAAAATATCACGACCTGTTGTGGTCTTTCTGAGTTCTTTGCAACAGAACAATTTCTGTATTTTCTTCAGTCAAAAAATGGTAAATTCAGAAATATTATGGAGGGGTATCTTGTTTCTAAAATGTTTAAGAACCACCAGTGTACCATATTATTTATATATATATATATATATATATATATATGCATATTCAGTCACATAGTACTGTGCTTTTCTAGATTTCTAGATCTACTTGGACATTTTATAGAAAAGAAATAATTAAATTGTAGGTTTTTGAGAAATGGAGGGTAATCACAGGCACTGACTTAGTTTTTTGCCAGTGGGTGCAGACATAACACCCCCCAAAAAAAAACCCAAAAAAACCCCAAACCCCAAACCCCCCCCAAAAATCTGCAGGGCAGGTGTAGTTTTGATTTGTGAATAATTGTCCTGTGTGCATAAGTTTAGAAATTTTATGGTACTCTAGTATTAAAGGCATCTAAGGAGAGATCAGTAAAGGTATAAGAAGGAATTTGGCTAAAACCCACTTTGTGTTTTTGTATGAGTTCCTCCGTTCATCTTCTATAAAAGCAACAATAGAAAAGAAGTACTTTTTTTCTGTTATAACAGTATTTACCCCATAACTCCAATTAAGTTTTGTCCAATTTATTTCATAGGCTGCTCTGAGTGCTACCGACATGGCTTTAGCTCTGAATCGATACCTTTGCACTGCAGTGTTGCCTTTGTTGACCAGATGTGCTCCTCTTTTTGCTGGCACAGAGCACCATGCTTCTCTTATAGATTCCTTATTACATACTGTATACAGACTTTCAAAGGGCTGCTCTCTTACCAAAGCTCAGAGGGACTCCATTGAAGAATGTTTACTCTCCATTTGTGGGTAAGCAAAAATTCCTGTCTGAACAGAAATATGATCTGTTGAGATGTGATATTTGCAGGACCTAATCAAAGAATACCTGACTGCATGTCGCCTTTTATCAGTAGGATGGCTATGCATTTTAGTTAATATAATATGTTACATTCTAGACTGTTCCTTTTTTTCACTAGCATTTAAGAAAGATAACTTGATCTTAGCCCACGAGAGGCTGAGAGGGAAGTACACATTTGACTTCAGTCAGGTTCTATAGATAATAGTTAAAAATATATGCAGTCAGTTATTTTTTTATTACAGACACTTCTTTATAAAATCTAAGCAAGTAACAAAGGGGCAGGACTGCATACATAAAGCTCCATAAGTACAGAATTGTGACTATAGAATGGTGTCATTTTTAGAAACATTTAAATATTGTAGATTAGTACAATTGGTTCATTGCTGAATTAATATAAAAGGTTAGATTTCTCTGTGAATGTGTTAAATTTTAAATCATGTTAAACTGCCCATTAATATCATATAAGCTCACTGTAAGCAGGTCACTTATCCAGCTTCCTTAACTAGACCAGTCAGCTCTGTGTTCAGGTTGTCCCAACAGTGTTTAATCCTCTCGGAGAGGCCCAAACCAGGGTAAATAACACAAACCTACCAGAAGCTGCCTTCTTTTTGGCAGTGAGAGAGAAACCTCTCTGGCTCTGGGCTTCTGAGATCTGCACTTTCCCTCTGCACTTCCCTCCTCACTGTCAGAACACTACCCACCTACCATGTTATTCTTCCATGTTGGGTTTATGCAGTCTTGAACACAGTGGCCCCTAGGTAACATTTCAAAGCATAAAAATCTCATTTTCAGAATTTGGTTAGGCACCGAGGAACCTACATCACTGGGATTTGTGCACTTTAGAGCACTTGACCCCTTCTGGATTTTATTAATATATTACTGGCACAGCATAGGAATGACACTTGTCAATGGTATTTTAAACAGCACATTTTGATTCATAGCACAATAATACAAATGCCTTTGAGATTGATAGGGAATAAAAGTAGTGTCCTGCAATTCTTTATACTGCATACTAATTCTATAAATTACCATATTTATATTATAGTTTACCTTATGTTCTTGCATACATGTACCCTTCTGCCCCCCCAGTCTGCTAGAAATAGGGGTGTGTGTTTTAAATAAGAAAATACAGTAATAGGAGGTTCTGCAGCTTGACTCTCTGACAGGGGAGAGAGAAAATAACTCTGTATATGCTGCACAGGGAGTGGCACAGTTAGGGTTACCATACATACAGGTTTTCCCAGACATGTCCTCTTTTTGAGTCCTCCAATCTCCATCCAGGTGTTTTTTTTTAAATATGATCAAATGTCTGGGATTTTGCTCTGCTCAACATTGAAGTTTTTCCCAGTAGTTCCTGGCTTGCCCTAACAAGATGCTGCTTGGGGCTTAGGGGATTGGGGGGAAGGTGACTGGAGGTGGCAGGCATCACATGTGTCTGCATGTACACACAAATGTGGCTGGCATGCAGCCTGGCAGGGTGGTGGGAGCAGCATCAGCAGCTGCATGCAGGTAAGTCTATGGGGGATGGGGGTTGGAGGGCCAGGGCTTGGGGACTGTCTGGGGTGTGAGGTTGTGTGTGTGGCAGGGGTGTGTGGAGGGGATAAGTATGTCGGGGGGGAGGGGCAGGTGCCTGCCGGCACTGGGGGAAGCTGTCTGGGTGCGGGGGCTG